CATGTTAGGAGGAAGTTATGATTTTTTGAAAATGGTGGGACAGAACTTTCGGACCAACCTAATATAACGGACTTGGTAAACGCGGCCCATGTAATCTAAAATGGTCACAATGTAGCCACAGGTCTGCTACATAACAGTTGTCAGCGCTCTTTGAAAACATCAGAATAAAGAACTCCAAAATTCAGGAAATATTTGGCATTACTGCTGAAATGCTCAAAAAGCCATAGCGAAAAAATTGCGAAGACAGAGTAGACCAGAGAGCAAGTATAGCTGTAAGGGAGAGAATAAAAATCTGATTCAAACGGCACCTAGGTGTTCTGTAACTTTTGATGAGCGATCAAAGATACCGACAAAACTTTCGGGACAAACCAATATATTACCGTGGTAAGCTTTGTTCTAGATTGAAATCTGCAAATAATCAGTGAAAAACACATCAACGGAAAAGGCCGTAGCTACACATGCTGGCACGGGCGTGACACAACATATGACGCGCGAGGTGATGGAATCGCGTAATGTATGCCCGGCCTTTTGTACTCTGTTCGTAATATTTTATCTCAATTTTGATCTACACTCTAGTGCACCAAAAAATAAACATGACCCAGCGATTCAAACAAAAACACTAAGTCCGAGTCAAAACACAATTAAATATGGCAGAAGCCTGGCCACCTCTGCCACCTAATTATGATAATTCCCGATTTAGAGTGTTAGCGAGCGTCCGGTGACAAGCTAACCAACTTAACCCAGAATAAAGATGATTCTGTTTTAGAGGTGAGCAAGATTCGTCGGAATGCAAGAGATATGGAATTGAGGAACTGAGGAACTTATTGTTAGTTACAAAGAACCGATAGAAAGCAACGTAAAAATTGAGCAGCTCTCGCAACGGTCAACACTCGTGAAAATGGTAGCAAAGGCTAATGAATTACATAAAACAAACAGCGCAACACATAGATAACAACACAACAGCGTAAAAGTCTGCAATAAAGAGTGTGGTTATTAGAATAGACTAACGATAAACATGAAAAACTCCAGCTTAACTGCGGATCCTTCAATAATCTTAAACCTAAAAGTCTTAATGTGAATATTTACTACTATACCGTTGTTTATTCAGAATTCCCACACATTACTCTATGGAAGGAATCTCTGGCTGGTGAATAACATCACAATCAACAAGATAATTGCCACAACTCAGAATCCCTTTTAAAGCTTTTCTAGTCCTCTTTTGAAAGAATTACTATTTTGATGATAATAGTTTAGTAGGCAAACGTTGAAACCAGCGTGCGCAAGTTTAAAAAAGACAGTTGAAAAGTCCGGAGTAGTGGTCCCTATTTAACTTACAAGGGAACCGTGTCGAGTCGAAGCGGCCTTTCCAGATGAGACCCATACTGCTTTGAAGAGTATTAAGCGGTGATTCCAAATCTGCCTTCCAAATCTGCCAAGCGCCTCTGGACGCCGAGTTATGACCGTTAGTCGGAACGAAAAATTGATGCAGAATTTAGGTAAAATTGATTGTTACAATCTTTCCAGCGCTCAGATAAAGCAATGTTAAGTATTAGCATATTAAATCAAATGTATTCATTGCATAAACAGCTCTGATACCTGGCACTGAACCATTTGAGCATTTTGCTTCAGTTTTGCGTTCAATTTTTTTACCAGAAAAACGAGCATAACTCAGTGTACAGAGGCGCTTGGCAGATTTGGAAAGCAGATTTGGAATCACCGATTAATGCTCTTCAAACCAGTATGGGTCCCATCTGGAAAGACCACTTCGACTCGACACCGTTTCCTTATTAGCATAATAGAGTTGAACCCTCCACGCCTGCATCTAGTTGGTCTAAGAACACAAAAGCTGTTGGCACGCTCAATCTCTTTCATCAAAATACGAAAACAAAAAAATCAGCAATACTTCTTCTGACTCTCAGTGATTTCAAGTCAGTAACTCTAAGCCGGTCTTTGTAGTGCTTTCGTTCGTCCAGAAGAATTTTGATTATGAGATAGACTATGAGAATGACTATGAGAATGTTGTAAAAACACGTTGAACTTTCTCGACTTTCGAGCTTTGCTTCACATGTACTTACTGGGTTCTACACCTGAGAGCAATACTCCAGGCGAGGAAGCTTACAGCTTATAATCGTTGAAATCACTTGGTTAGTGGTATGGGAGGTGGTGCAGGAGGAACCAAAGCCCTTGCCTCCTGTATCCAAGGGGGAAAGTGAAAGGCAGAGGAGGCCCCGCCCATCACTCCGCCCACGGGGCTTCCATTGACAAGCATTCATTAATGAATGCTTGTCAATCACAAATGACTTTATGTTTTTTCTACCGCCATGCGAGTTAAAGAAGGCCACTAATCAAAACACCCGATAATGGAATGCAAGACATTCCTTATTAGTACTGAGTGGCATTGAAGGACGGCCGCGCCAAGATCTGCGTGCCGACGGTGGAGGAGGTGAGTTCGTCTTCCACGCTATTCGATTTTTATTTTTGGCGTTCTGGGGTGATATCGGGGCTAGCCGGTGTGGAGGAGGTTTCTGGTGGAGTAGGCATTAAATCTGCATTTCTGGTGGAGTAGGCATTAAATCTGCAATCTCTTACCACTTTAGGCCTCTGAAGAAGACGACAAAGTCGAAACGTCAGGCCGCCACTAATAAATCGTACTAACCTCGCAACGGCTTACTAACATACTAACCACATAACTAACTATGCCGAGGTTGAGAAAAGAGGAAACTTGGAAAGTAAAAGTAGTATCATGCCATAAACCTAATAATAACCTAATGAATAGAGTGACGGTCATCTCTGTAACAGTCATATGAAACACCGACACATTTAATCACTGATGAATTTTGTTCAAAATTCAAGTGATGATGATACAGAGCTTAAAAATGGGTTACCAAAAATTGATTCAAAGCAGGAGAACATAAGCCGAAAACGAAGTTTCAAAGTGATTTTCACAATAACTCTAACAAAGAGACTAACACTACATCCTGGATGCTTATTGTTAGATCCAAAAAGGACGCAAAATGCAAATTCAAACATCTTATGCCTGAGAGGAGGCTCAGTAAAGCTTCACAGCTCAGATTTAAAGTGCGAACCAAACCTGGACAACCTTTACCCCGCTGGCAGTTGTCGAGGTATAGGGTTAGAAGAGTGGGACAATTTCTAATATAAACAGGGAAAACCAATGAAAACTACTATAACTGTTATAACAGATAAGTTTTGGTGACTTGGCCTGCTTTTTGCAGCTTTTTGGCAGAATCTGATTTAGCAATTCGAACATTCTTGATGATTGGCGTCTACTCTCGCAAGTTCACCTTTTTAAAAGAAGACTTTCCGACGTTTTTCTCGCGAATTTTTCTCATCCTTTTCCTCCACTCTCCCACTCCCCCCCCCCCCTCGATAAAACATTTATTGGAGTCAACAATAATTAAAGTTTTCATTTAAATCATGACTTTCTTGGCTCATTAGATGACTGGCTTGATCCTGCAAAGGTCAACTAATCGGCTATCGATTAGCACAAATGCAATTAACGCAGTGACTATCGTAAAAGATTGAGAAAATTATCTCAAGGAAACATGCAATATAGAGTAAGCTAGCTTTCCGCGAAGACATTCAGGAATTGGAGCAAAACGTAGAATGTTCGCGAGAGAGTTCTGAAAAATTAGAAATCGAGCCGAAGCTCTTACCTCTCTTAAAGGTATTCATCAATATCAATCTTTAAAGAATGCTAAATTGATTTGAAACATACAAAAGTCCATTTAAAATTTCGTTTTTTTAAAATGGTAACTTGTTTTTCCCTTCCTTCCCTTCCTTATATCTCCACAACAAGTCTTTTAACACGTTAACGACCTTGTGCATATGCACGTATGCACGCCCTGACTCCCGCTTAGCATTTTCGTGCATCCTCGCATATGCGCGCTAGTTTTTTGGGTGTAAACGAAAAGTTTTAAGGCAATTTTTATGCAGTAATACTATTGGTGCCCTGGTTGTCTTACAGAACACAGGGCATCGCAGCAGCTGTTCAGGAGTTTTGGCCGCAAAATTGGGTAGTATGTCCGTTTTTGATGTGGTAAATATATGTCAGTTACGTTTTTCCGAGAAGGTGGAAACCCTGTGTAGCTGTTTTGAAAGCAAACAAGGATGAATCGGGCAAAAAACTTGTTATCACAACGCTTTTCTCGAAAAAGAATTGCTCAGATATAGCCATTGCATGGTTTATTTTAGGGAAAATCGAGGCAACAACCTTGATTTGTGTTAGTCCTAGTAATCTGTGATGTACATGTTTCTCTGAACACAGTTTGCATGTTTTATGAATAAGTCTCAAAAAGACTCTCACATAATGTTTTCGTGCATACGCGCGTATGCACGGGCCAAGTGCGCGAAGGAGTTAGTGTGAGTTTCGTCCAAAATGGCGGGGTCGCCAATGTATTAAACTAGCCTTTTCCTCCAAGGAATTCCTGAGCAAAAAAGGCAAGACCCAGACTGAGAGCAGAGGGCGGAGCTTGGGAGGTTGCCAGATCCTTCTTGGGCCGCCAGCTCCTCCCTTTCCCCCTTGGATACACGCGGTAAGGCCTTTTGTTCCTCCTGCACCGCCGCCAGTAGTATGGTTTCAAAAGGATGTTTCGAAAATTAATGAATAATGATGAATAGGCTTTCTTTACTGCGTAGTCAATACGCTCCGTAAAGTTGAATTTTATCAACGAAAACATCCAAATCTCTTATTACGGATCAGCTCTTTTCCACTAATTTCGTATTTCCTTCCTTTCCCACATCCAAAAAGGAGCATTTATCAGAATTAACAGATAACCCATTTTTCCAGGCCCAAACATTAATGTATCGGTACAAGACTGTAATTTCTCGTGAACGCAACGGCTTTGTTTATCACAGAAAGCATACATTTGTTATCATCAGCATACATTTGAGAGGAATTTCTTTGTTGAAGCTGCCTTATGACATTTATCGGATACAAGACATTAATGATCTGCGTAAAAAAAACAGTATTTACTGATATGAGAATCACTCATAGCGATGCACGAATCCCGTCACTGAGGTGAATTTTTTTTTTGCTTTACTACTCTTCTACGGCAACAAGTGTGACACAAGCACTGTGATAGTTTGGGTTCAGAAGTGTATACCTTTCACTCGATACTTTGCAAATATCTCAATTTACTATCGCGGACGCCAAACAAGACAGCTTGTTACCCTAAAATCCATGCAATAAGTCCGCCTATCAGATAAGTCCGCCCTATAAGATAAGTCCGCAGAAGAACTAACAGTTAAGTCCGGTTTCTTGACAACGAAAGTCGCCCTCGCGCCGCCAGAAGTCCTGCAGATAAGTCCGCTTTCTCATGCTCAGGATAGGCGAACTCATCTGCTGCGGACTTATCTGATAGTGGATTTAGGAGGACTTATCTGATAGACTTTTGGCGGCGCAGAGGGCGTTTTTTCATCGATTTTTCGCGTCGAAGTTGCAGATAAGTCCGGCCTTATTGTACGGATTTTGGGGTAGTTTTAAACCCTTGCACAACTTAAGGTTAGTACCTGTGCCTTTTTAAAAGAGTCCACCATTGCTTGCACTTCAGACTTAAGCTGTTTATATTGATATAACTAATCAAGTTGGCCCCAAAAAGATACATAATAAAGATTTGGAGCGTCTAATGGCTTAGCCTTCCTCCGAATTCTTTCTTTTCTTTGAGTTTACCTTCGCGACGCCTCTTTCTTTTCTCCTTTCTGCTCTGGCACCGGATCTGCGTTGGAACACTCCTGTGATTTCTGTCTTGGCCACAAGTCTGAGTTTGTCTTCCTTAGTTGCTTAGCTTTGCAACACCGCTTTTTCCTCATGTAAATAAGCTTTATCGCTCCTTTTTCTTTCTACATAACCATTAGATAAGCTTTCATTTCCTTGCATGTAAGTAAGCAAGTCATAGAATTGAAAATTCAATCCACGCACGATGTAACCTCTAGAGAACATGAAACACATACTTACAAATCTTCTGCTTCATATGTATGAAGGCAATCTACGATGAGCAAAACTAGATTCAGAATTTATTATTTCATGAAAAGAACATCTATGAGTTAAGCCAGAAGTTGATACGTATATTTTGTAGTAACTCGTGCAAGATGAGCTCAACAAGAAATTAGAGGCACATGGCAAATCTTGGATGAATTTTTGCTTACATGACCTTATCTTTCCCGCTGTAAAACGCAGCTTGGAAAGCGAATATGTGAAAAAAAAACATGCAAGGTCATGGCGGGGCACTATGGCCTTAACTATTTCCGATATGCATCCTCTGCCCTCGAACAAGGTAACCTATGTTATTATCAGCTTTCCAAAATGTTTGTTGCAAGGTTGTATGCTTATCGGCTCCTAAGTGAAACAAACAACGAACACATTATTGCACTATTTACAAACTTTAAGTTTGATCATCTATCTATTATCTATCTAATCAAGACAAATGGGCACAAGTGGCGTAGTGGTATGCGCCGCTGTGACCACGCGGGACCAAAATCCGATTACGACCGTGAGCCAACCAAACCCTACAACTTCCGGATACGGTAAATTGGTAACAGATTAATCTGGGAGGATGAATGCACTGACTTGGGTACGTATGCACCTACATCCTTGCGGGGGGGGGATCTGAGAGGGGATGGGTCATACCTCGCTACTCCATATATCTTTCTTCTTCTTCTTCCTCTGTCTGGCTGGATGTTGTCATACACTGATACCTGCGCATGGTGGATGCCAAATATTGCCACACAAGATTAGAATTTCATTATTTTGTGTGATTCCCTGAGAATAACCAGGGGATCACCTCTCATATGCAAATTCATTCGTCTTCCTGAATACTCGATGAAAACGCTGTAAAATTGTGCTGAGAATATAACATTGCACTGCTTATGTTGGTAAAATAAAGTGAATATCAGATTGTCGAAATCTTCGACGAACGCCAGCTCGCGAGCCAGCGATTATCGAAAAATGCACAATGTTGATAATTTCTGTATTATCAACCATTGATGAACTCTATCTTATATATAAAGCTGAATGTCTGTTTGTATGTCTGTCTGTCTGTCTGTGTGTACGTGTGTTCCGAATAGAAAATTCCATTTCTGAACCGATCCGGACCAAACTTGGCACACATACACTTCGGGCCCCGGAGGATGTCATAGGCTACTCTTCGTCATTGATCGATATCGATTTTATCAATTTTTATCCATTTTTTTGCTGAGTCCACCTACGGGGCTGGGAGTTTGCAGAGGGGGGTAATCGAGCATGGGGATTCCGAATACAATATTAGTCCTAAGGAATATCGATTACTTTTATCGATTTTATCGATTTTTTGCAAAGTTTGACTTGCGGGGCTGGGAGTTTGCACAGGGGGGTAATCGAGCATGGGGATTCCGAATACAATATTAGTTCTAAGGAATATCAATTACTTTTATCGATTTTATCGATTTTTTGCAAAGTTTGACTTGCGGGGCTGGGAGTTTGCACAGGGGAGTAATCGAGCATGGGGATTCCGAATACAATATTAGTTTCTAAGATCGGCCACCGCTTTTATCGATTTTATCGATTTTTGCATAGTTTGAGCAACAGGGCTGGGAGTTGGCTCAGGGGGGTAATCGAGCATGCTGATTACCAAAACAGCGGAAATAGTGATTTGGCATTTAGGCGTGGGCACAGGGAAAGGTTCGTACAGGAATGATAGTGTTCTTTGACATAGTGTTTTGACAGGGCCGGGCGGAGCCGATTAAGCCAGCTAGTATTCTATAAAGCTTGCGGAATCCCCGTAGGCTAAATGGTAAGCTACTCACTCTTGAGTATCTAATCATTCAAAAGTGTGTGGTACCCATGCGCCAAGAGTGTAGCCAATCATCTCCTTTCAAGCACCAACTCGTGTACATTGTACCTTTTATTCGGTTCAGCTCCGCCTTCCTTCGTATATAAGGAGTCTCCGAAGGTATTAGGGGTTGCTTCCCGGTCCACACCGGGGCACTCGAACTTCTTCACGACTAATCTACGCCCGTGCGAATAAATCTTATTCCACAACCACGTCTACCTCTAATTACTTGGTACCCACCGAACACCATCTTCAAATTCCATTTCTCCTGTCGAAAACATGTTTAGCACACCGTAGTATATCGCACAATATTATAGCGTTTTCATTATTTTTCCAGGAAGATAAATGACTTTGCAAATGAGAGGTGATCCCCTGGAAATCTCCAGAGGATAGTACAAAATAGTGAGAATCTAATCTTGTATGGCAGTAACGTGGCACATGCGCAGATATCAGATTGTAAGAACCTTCTTAAAGGCAGCGTCCGGGCAAAAACGAAAATGTAGAGTATAGGGGCGCCCGTCCTGGTAAGACTTTTGCCTAAATGGCAATGCACCAACTTGCTTCTGAAGCGAGAAAACATCTTTAGAAGTGGCGACCGGGACGCCCCGACAACCGGGGACGAGTTGGTTCGCACAGTACGCCAGAGTGCGCATACCGCACACAGTAAGACGTAGGGTTCCACAAAGATTCTACGTCTTAACCTTGGCGGCAGGCGACAAAATTCAAATTAAGAGCTCCTGGAAAAGCCCGTTTTCGAAATTTTCGTGTTCTCCGAGCTGCATTTTCGGAATCAGCGAAAAGGATTAGCCTGTGTAAGCGAAAAAAATTCCATCCGAAATCTTGCCCGGACGCTGCCTTGGGCCGGATAGGGAAAGAAAAGAAACATATCTAATTAGCGAAATATGATGCGTCTCCAGATCTCCTCCCATTCCCGCGGAGATGTGCGTGCGTATGAGCCTTAGTAATGGGCGGCCCCGCAAGTCATTTTAGAAAGCCTGTACAAATTTAGCAGCCTCATTCAACTATGAAGTAAAATGTGTTCGTTGCATGCCGCAGAAGATTTTGAAAAGCCGTTTATACTTTATGCTTATTATGACAAATTTAGATGTACTGTTAGTGGTAAAAAGTTTCTACGTGGTTTAGAGCTTCAAGTTTGATGGTGACTGCTTCTGTGACTTCAATCTTACTACTTACTTTGATGTGCGGAGTTGTCTGTGTGGCCTCGTCACTCGATTACACACAACAGGTCAACCAAACTGGGGTAAGAGAACAATCTCACTTTGACTTTTACGACATGTTCTAAACAGTTCTTATTGAGCTCCTCCTATTTCTTCTCCGATAGCTTACAATTAGCTCAGAAATTCCCTGAACCACCAGGGGATGCTAGAATATCAATTTTATTGAGATTTTTCAAATCTAGTTTTATGAATTTCAAATATCTAGTTATGACACCGTCTTGGAAGCAAAATTCAAGTATAGCACTGAGACTGTTTCTTACAAAACTGATTAGCTCTTAAGATTTTATAGAGTTAGTGTAGGAAATGAAAAGTTCTTGTTTCTTCCCATGCATTCCAAGAATTTTTCAAATATCTGTGAGGAAACAGTTGCAGGCGCAATGCCAGACTATCATGTTAACAATTCCTTTCTCCTTTCCAGCAAAACTCACTGGCAACACTTTTTTCAATAAATTTGTCTCATTACCTTGAATTAGTAGTTGTGACCCAACTCAGTTTTTTTATTGACAACAAAATTGACGTCAGTCTGACTTCGTAGGCTTATTCTTTTGCGATAAAATGGCTTTCAGGACCTATAACGTTCAGACTTTCAGCCTAATATTTCTTCATAAAAAACTTCAAACTGCTGTGGTAAACGCCCAAAGTCTGACTTCTGAACGCGTTTATGTTTCAGGGTCATCGCAGCCAACCCGATAAAAAAATAATAATTTCAGTTCCGGTACGTTTCTTCTTGCAATTTCTCAATCCGAAGTAATTCAGTGGCCGTATCCATCAATGAACCCTGAGGGTTAAATTTAGCCTCCACGGTTAGTTTAACCCTCAGGGTTCATTGGCCGTATTCATCAACCATAGGGTAGGTTTACCACGGAACGCAATCCACCGGTATCGATTAACGAACCCTGAGGGTTAAACTAACCCTGGAGGGTTAAGGCGTCAGTTACGCGTGCGCTGTGCAACCTCACATCACAGAACGCCTAAGTACGTGCTAAAATCACATACTTCTATTCTTTCATTGTCATAGTAGTATGATCAACGAATAAGCTTCTAACACTAGTTTCTATAATGCATCTCTAGCGTATTTGTGCAGCATCCAATCTTACAACGTGAGTTTATTTTCATATGTGCACAATTGCGCCGTGTAATTTCTACTTTTGTGCAATTCGTTTTATATCGGGCTTGTACTACTCTTTTAGGGGTCAGTGCGTGTTATCATAAAGGGGTTCTTCAGTTTTGGCACTTGTCAGAGTGGAATGTGCAACCATTTTTCCTCGTCGCATTCATTTGCCACCAAAGCTACAGTTCTTTTTCTCGCGAAGTTAGTGTTTCATGTATTTCGAATTTGAACATAAAACGAAGTAAAAACTAAATACTATAATAACAACTAATACCAAATACTACAATACTCGTTGATCGTTTTCAAAACTATTAGATGCAGTGGACATTTGTATGAAGCGTTAGGGTAGAGTTAACCTTGCTCTATGCTAGGGTTAAATTAACCCTGATGAATAGTAAGTTTTACCCTCCAGGGTTAGTTTAACCCTCAGGATTCGTTGATGAATACGGGTTAATCGCTTTCAGGGTAAGATTTACCCTCAAGGTTAGATTTAACCCTCAGGGTTAAGCCTACACAGCTGACTGACTTTTACGTGGATCTACTCAAAACAAATAAACTTTTAGGTTGATAAGTAAGCTCTCGGACATTGCATTTGGACAAGCTGGGGCAGGCGAATCATTGAATAGAGAAAAGCAAGCCTCAAAATATCGGACGCAAGATGTAAAGTAGAGGAGTAAATTTGAGAATTTAAGATTTTGACAAACCTTAGATCTCCATCTTCCATTTCGTCCTTTATCTAAGAATGTTTAAAAACTTTCTTACCAACTGAATAAGATATACTCATACAATTGATCAAAAAGTTGTGTACAGCTAGAATCTACACCATATGGATACAAGCAGAGAATTTTCATAGGAAGCAGTGAGAAAGAATTTACTGTAATGGTTACCTTGCGCCACTCCATGTTATGGATACCAAGCATCAACTGCACGTAAGTTTGTCATATGTACAAACCGAGTTAAAGTTTTGTGCCTACACCATCCCAGCGCCATTATAATTTTATTTTGTTTCATTTTATTTCGGTGAACCTAAAAACAGAACTCTAACATAGCACTCAATGGCAAGCATTTTGAAGATTTAAAAATACACCAGTCTGTGAAGTTGTACAAAAAGGAAACTCAATAAGCGAACGCTCAAATGCGCCACTTATTGTCTTCCGAAAATCAGGAACCAGCTTTATTTGGAGAGTTAGCAAGCGGGTGAGAGCAAGCTGTTTATAGCTCCAAAGAATGAAGCAAGACATTCATGAGAGTACAAAAATAATATAAGAAAAGGGAATTTGGCAAAACGTCTACCTGTATTTTGACTGGAGGGAAGCTTCATATGACTAAGCAAAATGTGTAGGAGAGGTAGTGGTGAGAATAAGAAGAAAAATAATGTTTATTTAATAATTTTGAACAGAACACCCAACAAAACTAAACTAACACGAGCAACGATTTGAAGCCAAGCATTTACTTAAATGCTTCAAGCTTCCCAAACAAAAGTTTTTTTTACAAATTTAGTGCTCGTTAATTACAGTATCTTTAGAGAATCTTGCCGCGGCCGAGCAAAATTTGACCCATCAAACTCAAGTTCTTTCTTGAGGGATGGCAGAAGTTGGACGTTAGATAATTATGATGGAGGTGCACAAGGAGTACTAGGAATCGATAGCGTGAAGGTGATGTGTTTTTGAGTTACGTGTAACATCTGTTGAATATCCCGATAAAAAATTTTAGCCCATAAATCGAAAACTCAAGAAAAGGTTTTAACCTTGCACAATGACGATAATCAATCTGGGGGAACGCTTGCTTCTGAGGAGGTGCCCTATATGGCCCTCCCCAACAAAGGCAGGGACCGTAATCAGGCTATTCGTGTGGGGATCCGATCTCACTGTCCTTCAACCCATTGACGACGACGCTTAATTTTGCGTGGCGGCGCTGTGGGACGACGTAATTTTGCACAACAACTGCGGCGCGGGAACGTTTTTGTGATTATTTACGAAATGTAAAAATGTTTTGCAAATAACTACAGCCATTTTCTTGGACGAAGAAGACTACAGGTTCCACGAGTGCAAAAAACTGGAAAAAATGGTGAACTCTGGGAAAAATACTAGACCCGGAAAGGATATGATTTTGCAAGGTGTGTGGGCCACCGGTGGTCCACATCGTCCCTGGCGGAAAAAAGTGCGTGGGCCACCGGTGGTCCACATCGTCGTCAATGTGTTAAATCGATTGAGCACTGCTGACGGCGTTTTGAGCGATCTAATGAAAACAGTGTGTTCCGTGGTTGAGACTACTCCGGTGTCTTCTACTTCAGGCCCGAGGAGTCATTTTCGAAAAACAATCGGACAAAAGCATTCCGTTGTTTATTAGGACAACCGGTCAATGCAGTACAAAGGCCTAAAAACACCATTTTTGCGGAAAATCTACAAAAAGAACAGGTCAGAACAGAACAACAGAAAGAAGTATCGTGCATCCCGATCACTGCAAATTACTGAACAAACAGTAGTTTTTGTAAGCAGGGTACTCCTCTCAGTCAAGGCTGAAGCACGGGCTGTTCAGGCTGCACGTTCCAATTAGCAAAGGCAAACTGTAACATGTATTACCTATATTACAATAAAAAAGAAGGCTGCTCTCAAACCAACCTTAAGCAGACTCTTGCCTATCCAGCATTTGTCAACGGCAAAATTTGTTCAAGAGTTGCGATGCGGACGATGAATGGTGAAAAGAAAAGTGATTGCCCAGAAAATGGAGATAATATCATTTAAGTCAGTTGATAGGAAGCATAAGATGAAAACATACATTTACGACAAGAATGCGGTTAAGTCTCACAAGGGAATGGTCAGAAATCGAAGTGGCCATTCCAGACAAGCTGCGTAGCGTTAAATGCAGCATGAAGCGCTGACTTTAAATCTGTCTTCTTTATCTGCTTATCGCTTTTCTAAACGAAGTTATAAGCCATTAAAGACCATTATTTTGCTCAGAAATTATGCGTGAAATTGAAAATTCAGCCGTACAGAGCGTCGTTCGCCTCAATGCTGGGCCAAAACATGCAGCTAGCTTACTTAAAATTGTTGAAGCCAGAAGCCGAGCTAAAAGTGCAACAATGTGCTCAATTTCGCTGTTTTTATTTATGATTTTTTCACTATAAAACCGCTTGTAGCTTCGTCCACAGAAGAGTGAAGCAGATAAGAAAGGCAGATTCGAAGTCAGCGTTTTATACTGCATCGAATGATATACAGCTTGTTTGGTTTGGCCACTTCGACTTCTGACCATTCCCTTGTCAGAAGGACTTCTGTGGCAAAGAGTTGCCCAAATACAACAAATATTGAAAGGAAGCAACACTGATAGATTATGAGTGAAGCATTCTTGAATATTCAGTTCAGCCTGAAAGAGAACCCAATCATGATCAACTCAAATGCACCTATCAAACATGAACTAAAACAAAATAACAACAACAGGAAAATTTACCATGACCTAAGAAAGGATGACAACAATAGGAATAGCAGGAACAAAGCCGAAAACGCAGGTGTAAACCGAGAATGCAAGTATATCAAGAAGCATGTCATCGATGTTAGAAAGCACTCACTTCTTAATGGATTTGTGGACGTCAAATGTTCGACGTCTGCAATCTCGTCCCTTTTTTGGCCGAGTCCGACCTGCTAGATATGGAAATCGCTCACGCGGTGTGTGAACGAATGAAGACATGGTTTCATGCAGCAAAATTGCCTCGTAGTTGTTCTGGCCACTTCGCCTTGAATTTAATATAAACTTCAACAACAGTGACGGCAGCGCTGAAAATATTTTTGAGAATCTTGTTAAGTCAAGGCCAATGAGAATTAAAACTTGCCAGTGTCAAGGTGGGTCACGCCGGTTTGAAGGAATAAAAAAAAGTGGACTGTTTTCTCAATTCACAAATGTATGAATACAAAGTTCAAAGGCAGAAAAGAGGTTGATATGGTCTATAAATAGATAAGTGAAACCGAAATAGCCTGAAAGAGGCAGAAATTCTACCTTGATTCGGCAAAGTCCAATCAAGCGAAAATGTTTTTTAATTTTTCTCTCGCAGTACTGTTGTTCTCTGAAAGCAAGGCTATATAACAAACACTCGCAGAAAGGCTCACTCACGGTTTTGAATTGTATGGGTTTGGGCCTGGGCCCCGATCCCGTGGTCTGCATTTCTTGCCATCTTGAAAAGGAACCAAAATTTAAAGGCACAAGATTGATGACCTCCTGAAGCGCATTTGCACACTCTTCCAACACTTCGTACTGTCCTTCTCTACGACAACATAGCATCAACTCCGAAAGGGAATGTTCTTTAAATTACATGCTCAAAGTGCAAACTATAAACAGCGGCAAATCATACTCCCTCAACGAGCCGATACGTCTGCTTTGTTCTATCTTCTTCTAATATGTCTCTTGGTTCCTCATTTTCATTAGCTCCTTCGTCCGCAATGTCTATGCTTTCTGAAGGCATGGTTCCGGTGCCTTCCGACCCGGCTTCGCAATTGTCATCATTTTCACTCTTACGCAGCAGCGGTGTTTCGCTGGATGACAGGTAATGCTGAACAGGTCGGAGAAGCGCGGACGCTAGATTTAAGTATCGATCATAAAGAATGAATAGGATATTACTACCTTCTTCGACAAAAGTTGCTGCAGCATGCAAGTGCACGCAGGAAACGCCGGCTTTGTAGACTTCGGAGTAAGAACATTGAAAATGGTATGAGCAGAGCCCACATCTTTCACAGTGGGGGTTCACTTGTAAGAAAAGATGTTTTTCATCGAAATCAGTTTGTGATGAGAAAACAAACGTCCGCATCACAAGCGCAGGCGTCAGACATGACGATATATATCTTGTACATTCGGGGTTGTGGAGTGATTTTCCAACTACGTTCATCCACCTCCACAATGGCAACCTGGAAGTGCTCTTAAGGTCAAAGTGGATGTAGTAGACAAAAACCCAATACCGGGGTTTTTGCAAAGCTTAGTGCTTCTTTATGTCGTGATAAATTGAGCTTAGAACGTCCATAGACGTCCGAGCGTACTCGTTGCAATTTGTACATTCGATAACACATAACATGTGGCAGCAATAAGCTCACCGAAGTGACAAGCTGGAGATCAGCATTTTCGGAGTGCCTTAGCAATATATACAACAGTGTCGGGTTGCGCGTTTTGCTTGCTCTTGAGGAGCACGTGCTTTAATTTGTTATGCCAAGAATCGCATGGCTCGAAGTGGTAAAGATGACTTTGCGCCTGTAGCATAATGCCGATTCCTTTTTTCGTTTGACTTAGTTGCGTTTTATGTACTGAAACGGCTTCTCTAACTGAATGCTTTTCATGTCCTAGGCATCGGTGGACGCAAGAAGACATATAAGCGTAGAGGTAGCTCTCGAACTTTGCTTCATTGACTTCGAAGAGGACTGCCTTGAACAGATCGTTAGCCATTTGTGCATCATCTCCCAGCGAACGACTCACTATCAGAAAAGACACAACCACCTAACTAGCGTACCCTGAGCAATTCCTTATGCCTTCTCTGCAGAGTTTGGTCCACGTGGAACGAAAGGATCTTTTCAGTGCGACTAAGAGGCGAAACCTCTTTGAAACCGTTAAAAAACACGTAGGTATCATTCGTTATTATATAACTTGGATCAAAAGCAGGGACACACCCCTATAAAGCTATATTCAGAGCAGCTGTATTATTGACTCAAGATCTTTAAAACCCACTTTTACAAGCTCGAACAGGATTTTTATTACGGCACTGGTCATATGAAAAGATAACAAATGCGCCGAGGGAAAGCCACGTCCGGAATCATCGGAGACGACTAGGGAGGCAAGGCGGAATGAATACCTTGTTACGTTAAAAGTGTCATCCACGACGACTCCTCTCGATCCAAAGCGTTCAATGTACTTCTTCCCATTCTTTTAGACGAAGGTTTAACAAAGTATCATTACTTTGAGTAAACAGCTCTACCAAGATCTTATCCAGGATAAAGCCATTCCCGCTAGCATTGTTTGTTTCAACTAGCTTTATGGCGGCGATCGATTTTTCATTTCTCAACAGGATTATCAGAGAAGTACAATTATCTAAGTCCCACCGGTCCGCTACTTCGCCGAGCAGACTTACTGACGAGCAGCAATATTACTGAAAACGTGTAAACTGCCCATTGAAATCCTTGGTGCTTCAAAAAAGCTCTTACTAAATGTCTCTTGTTGTGAGATAGCATAGTCGCGCTTGCTTTTCCGGCGGGATTTCCTCATTCCAAAATTCTTCGCGCAATTTTACTACGATCTAGAAAGCTTCACTCGCAGTAGAAATCAGCTAAATGGTACCGCACCATCTGATCTGGTATTCCGGACTTGATCATATTCAAGAATATGTTTTCTTTAGATGTAGAAAGCCTCGTGGAAGCGTGGTTGATTTCGTGCCCTATGTGCCCAAAGCAAGCAACAACAGATAGTTGCCCATCCTTTTTCTATTTTACCTAGAAACAGAAGACTTACGTATGAATCCGTTCACGAGTTTGACCCATCAAGGCAAAGCACGGATACTGTGGATATACTCGTTTCGACTTCTTATACCTATTTTTTTCTCTTCAGCGTCTATCAGACCGCCTTCCCCGCGAGCACGTTGACACACATATCTTGTTGTCGTCACACTTTTTTTCCTCTTTACGGCTCTCTGCACCAACTTCGAACATGTTTGATCTTCTTTCGCGCTCCTCCACGACTAAAAGTGCGAAAGATGCGGTTTGGTACAACAAAGGAAGTGAAACATCAGACCTCAAAATCTTCCCATAATCAAAAAGTTTTGTCGATCACTTCAAAACTGGCATCTTCCCTGCTGTGGTGCTCGGCACAGTGCAACGCGAGATTCTGGAGACTTTTTTTAGGACAGACGGGCATTTTTTCTCTTCTGGTGTGCCACTGATTGAATGTTTCATCTGCAATGTGATTGTGCAGGACGGCGCAAAGTGCAAACGCTGCTCTCGTCTTCCTACCTTTTTGTGCTTTCTTAGGCCTTCAGCGCTATAAAATACTTGTGGGCATGCCTCACACCCAAATTCTTTTTTGCCACAATGAATGGCTTTCTTTGTGGCATTCTTTACTCCACTAATCACATCTTCAGTGCATCCGTGATGCTCGCGTAGATGGTACTTGCTACATTTGATCCATTCATGGTAAAGTGGACTACGAAGTCGATCAGTTGTATCAAGTGAATTAAGTTTGGCATACGCCTGTTACAATACATGTGGGAAATGCACGTGCAGATCTTGTGACAGGCTAAACTCAGACGAAACATGCAAGGACTGCTGCACGGTTTGAGATTATAAAGGATTACAAACCCATGTTCAAGCTGAGATCGCTAATATAAAGTGCATATGAGCGAGGCTTTGTGGATCATAAGCAAGTGAATAACTAAGATGAGCACAAGCCACAACGAAAGCAGAAGCAAACTCATAAAAAGAGAGCGGCGAAAGTCAAGAAGGCTCAAAGAGGTTTATGATACCTTTCTTCAAATGAATCCCTATAGTAGTCTCTTCCAAGTCTTCTCATCTTTCCAGAACTGTAGTCTTCCACAGAAGCTCACGATTTACTGCAGAAAAGAGTCTTGCGCACCATTCCCACCTCCTTAGATCCATCACATACATCTTCACTGCTGCGGTTCGCAACAGGGCCTGCAGTATCTTGGTAGGGCACTTCACGAAACATCAGGAGTTTGGAGAAAGGGGTAAATTATGAACGGGTTGGGATCATAAATCTCGTATTCGGCACGTGTTTACCTAAAACTCTCATAAACAAAGTCAACTCAAACAGCATTGATATTTAACATGATGCTTTCAATGACACATTGACGACGAGCTATTCTCTTATGTCTTCTTGTGGTTCAAGACGAAATTAGCGCCATGGAAAGGAACAGAAATAGAAATTTATTAGGGTGAACGGTAAAAAATGGGACACCTACGAAATAACTGGAGGTTTCTCAAGAATGAAAAGCGATAAGGCTTTCCAATTTTGATAGATGTTAGAATATGTTATTATCTTTCTGATAATACTTACATAAGGTCATTTACATGATTAATAATTTTTGTACTTGCTGAAATGCAAAGTTAATCACTTCGATAAATTATGAAGTTTGAGCAGTATCTGCGCAGCGACACATCTGAGACCACCCAGAGTACCACTGCTGGAGTGGGTGGTGGGACAGTCACTAAGACCACGACGGCTTGGTGGTCACAACTTTCAAAGTCAAGAGATATGGCCATTAGCAGCTTTGAGGGCAATGACACGCGCTATTCAATTCTTTGCAGGTGAACGTATGTTTTCTAGGTACCGTCTGATAGAGCTTTTTGCGCTCTATCCATCCATATGCAGCTTATCTCAGATTTTATCTATCTTTGGAAAATGAGGGCAAAGCATGATTTTTTTGGTTTTTTATTGCGCCAAAAATAGCTATTTTTTCGGGTTTTTCGCTTTTTTTTCTGAAATTGAAAAGAAATCTTATGCATTTGAAAACCATTTGAAAGAGCATGAAAAGCTCTTTCGAATGGTATGTCATAAGCTTTACGACTTTACGGTATAGCAGCGCAAGATTGAGAACTGTTAGAAAAATCCTGTTTGAGCTCTTCATGGCGCCACGCGTACGGTTATGAGAGAGAAGCGGTAACGCGTTGCTAGAATAATAGGCGAAGGTCGTTTATGTAAGCGACGTTTGAGTTGTAACCTGCTCATTGTTGGTGAGAACAAAAAAACCTCAAAATGTAAAAAAAATCAAGCTGTCCCATTTTTTACCGTTCACCCTAATAAGTGCTGAATCGCAACTACCACCATCAATAACACCTATCTTGAGGCATAGCCAGCGGCTGCATCAACCGTTTCTAGCCGAAGAGGTTGCGCTGGTTGCGGGTGAGGGATAGCCAACACGCGGTCTCGTGCAGGATAACCTGACACCCTAAGAATGCAGTTTCCATACACAAAATCGTCAAAATTTTCAAAGCAATACATACCTTGAGAACGATAACCTGACAAGGGAGGTCGAATCAGTCGAAGTGGCCTTTCCAAATGGGTCATATACCATTTTGAAGAGCGTTGAACGCTGATTCCGAATCTGCCTTCATTATCTGCCGAGCGCTTCTGGACGTCGAGTTATAAAATTTTTTTGGAGCGAAAAATGAACTCAGAATTCAAGTAAAATTAACTATTACGGACTTTTCAGCGACTAAATAGAGCAACATGTAGTATGAGTGTTTTGGACAGAAGGTATCCTTTGTAATGGAGTGCTCTGATAACCAACTTCGGACAATTTGAGCAATTCTGACGAATTTTGCTCTAATTACGCATTAAATTTTTCAACCAAAGGAACGCTCATAACTCGGCGTCCAGAGGCGCTCGGCAGATAACGAAGACAGATTCGGAATCAGCGTTGCATGCTCTATAAAATAGTATGCATTTCATATGGAAACGCCACTTCGACCAAGTATCCTTCCCTTGTGAGTAAACTCCCGGTCGTTGTTGTTCTGATGCAAATGTATTTGGTGGCTGCCTTCATAAGATGACCACTGTAGTGGGCAATAACATCCTGGCTGCATTGGGGCACGGGCGCCCAGCCACGGTTGGCCGTAGCGACCGGGAGTCCCCACCCCTTGCTGCGGTGGATAGCCTGAAAAGAAGGAAGGTAAAGGAAGGAGGCCTATCCCGGATGATCAATGAGATAATCGAGCTTTTCATGGCCATATATGCAAGAGACCAGAATTAGCAGCAAACAATGACAAAACTAACCAGTGGTAGGTAACTAGGCTTGCAAGGAAAATCGATCTGGAGCCAATGCGAAGAAGTACCTACAACTATCTACCAAAAACGAGGAATTCGCGCGCAACTGAATCTCAGAGACGGGAAATGAAAATTTAAAGGACAGTGAAATCGCGATCGGTCCCGACACCTTTGTTGGGGAGGGCCATATAGGGAGTCGTCATGGTCAAGGCGAACACAGTAAGCAAGATTCCAAAAGGAAAGCAGTCTTTAGTCTTGTAGTCGTATAAACCTATTTTCTACAAATGATTTCTACCGAGGACGAAAAAGATGAAGTAAAGAAAGTACATGATTATGAGTAAAACATTCTAAAAATCTCCAGAGAAAAACGTAGAAGAGATTAGCAATGCGAAGATGTTGTAGAAAACTCAACATAGCTTAAAGGCAGTGGATCGGCAAAACTCAACAACAGGATTTTAATGCGATAGATTCCTCATCGCCCAAGTATGAAAACAGTGCAATCCTGGTTGCACAGCATGCCCTCCCTGCCGAGAAAATGGCTCTTAAACCTACACGCGCGTCAATCTTGCACGCTCCCGGACTAGTTGGAATTTCCTCCTCACCATTGGAGGCTGCCCCCCGCAATGCTATAACCATTGGGTCCCGCAACGATCCAGCATCTCAGCCTTGCTCCACTCGTCCACATCCGAAGGGAAGGGCATTGAAAAACGCTCATTTTCGCCGTTTTCAAGCTCACAGAGGTGGACTTTCGGGAACAACGTATTGAATAACCACAGGTAAGCGAAAATTTGATTAGGTTGAGATTTGCCGAGCCACTGCCTTTAATTCCAGAAACTCGCAATTTAAACGCACAACTTCTGCCGCGCATTCGCACCAAAACAAAAAAAATTAATTGCTTTTTTTACGGTCATACTCATATGTATCTGAACAGATGCATGGCAAATCGCCATACGAACCTTACGAGGATGGCCAGCTGTTTGCTCCAAATTCCACTTTTGGGATGGCTTCAAGTACAACTGGACGGGAGGGACTGGTAACACATTGATAATAATATTCTAAATATTGATAATAGATATAAATAAAAACGTAAATGAATATTACTCATTTGTGATATTATTTATATCATGAATAACAGCGTAAATATGATGATATTGATAATTTTGAATATTTTCTATATGTTTCCAGGAAGGTGTGGACGGAATGCTGGGTCTCGCATCTCTCGCTGATAAGGGCACAGCTAGCGCACCATTCTTTCGTCAGCTCTACGAAAACGGTGAAAATAAGGACTTGTCGTCAGCCCATTAAAAATGCGGAGATAACGCATGCGACGTTTAAGATGCCATATTCCTGCAAAGGCTTCTCATCCATCTGAAGCAATATCCACAAGCCAGTTCGGATGCAGGAAGTATAGTTTATGGGACATCGTCAGATAACATCAATTGTGAAGATGCTGCGTTTAGCTTTAACGACTGGACGAAGGGCTCTTATCAATTCAGGGTAAAAGTTGAACACTAGGTCAAATCACAAATCTGTGCTTGCTCTGGTAGGTCCTTTCCCACACAGGTAAAAAAAGGTTCTTCTTTTTTGTAGCACTCAGGTTTTTTTGAGCTGAAGTTTCGAAATTGCCGGTTTTTACAGAGAAATGAAAATGAAAAATTCTTGTTTCAATAGTGAGCACCACCGGAACTCCTTTTTACCGTCTGTCACTCTTAACTTGATGTTCTGTGTTTATGTAGACATAGTGAGTGAGCGGCAGTGTTGAGCCATATACACAAGATAAAAGAAACGAAGGTTTTTGACACTTCGCAACCTAGACTTCGACTTAGGCCAGCCTTGCAATGGGGAGCTTCGAAACGACAGTGTACTACTTGATAATGCCTGAGTTGATACCCTTCATTATCGGTTCGCCAGCAGTCATCGCAGAGATAGCTGGGATTGCTGGAGCTAAGGTATTGACTATCATTTCTTACATAACAGCAGGATTCAACTATTATAGTACGCCAACGGATCTTACGTGGTTGATTGCGATGCTAGTATACCAGATCTTGAGATAAGAGAAGCTGCACGTCCATTAATAATTTTCATCAAATCGGACAATCTTATTACAAAGGTACTTATTTTAAGGGAAAATGTGCTATATTACAAGTGCCTGGCCACGCGACGCATCGGGCTGTCTCACTGTATCCTGCAGCCATTTTGCATACGGGCACATGTGCCATTAGCCAGTTGCGCTGATGGAAGCTTTCGCAGTTTCCGTAGTTTTGCGACATTGCGCAACAAGTCATCAAAACCTATACGAAAAACAGAAAAAATGCGTTCAGATTTTGACGTGCACATCGTCCACCACAACACCATAAGATTTCTGCTGGATGGAGGATCTTTTTATTGATAGCGGTGAAAGGAGAGGCGATCTGAGCTCTCAACAGCCTATAAATACTGTGGACAGGAAGTACCAGCCAGACCGTATGTGAATAAGTAGCCGTGGAAGAGAGGCGGTTTCCGATATTGCAGGTCCCTGAGTTTGACATCTGCCTGGTTGCGCTCCACCTTTATGTTTGAGTTTAAGTTGTGCGGATAAATGGTGGGCGAAGATAAACGATATTTCCCGACTGTCCATGGTTGGGAGCGAACGTCGCAGGTGTCGAGCAAACCCATAAGTAGGCTCGTGGCAAGGACCCCTATGTGTGCATGACTTGGATTAGGGCAGGCGCAATTAGCATTCTCACAGGAAACGCCACCGCTCCTCTCACACCTTACGCTGCCCCTCTTCACGGAGAGGACGTCTGGCTCCTACCGCCGATGCAGGAATACACCAACACCACTGACGTTGGGAGCTGAGGCCCAATCGGTGACATCCCTTTAAGGAAACAGGTGGAACTCATTCAAATCCCTTCTTTTGCCTATCATTTCGTACTCGTTTCGCTCAACCCGCCAATCATTGTTTCACTGCAAACTGTGCTTCATGGAGTGCAGTTGGAGACTCTTAATGCTTTGGAAACTTGGACCAGTGGGGAAGCTTACGCCGGTGGGAAGAGCTCCATGACGTTAAAATTGTGCGATATGATAGGCGTTGCATTTTGGTGTAACTTGTTGCTTTTGACTCGAATCAGTGTTGTTTTGTTTTGATTCGAAAACAAACACGATTCCACTTGAGAAAAAAGGGAAAAACGAGGGGTGTAAGCCGACTCGCATAATCGCGTTGTCGTCATTTTTTCACACAAGCCACCTCCGCACGCGATAACCCTGCGGCGGCTTTAGCCCAGACAAAGCAGGGGGCAGGTTAAGCTTTGCGTTACGTTTCAAGAGAGTAGCTGCTGGAAACTGCTACGCAAAAGATTCTCTCCCATAAACAATCCCATCTATTGCAAACCTCCCCGAGGTGCGGCGGGCGATGCCGCATGCGAAGGAACATTTTTACTGAGTTTCTTTTCCATCCAACTTCTGTATAAGTTCGACAACGCGACGAAGCCGGAAACGACGGTACTCACATAGTTAGCTAATGGCTCATGCGTTTGACGAAATGCAGCATAACATTAGGCCCCCGCCAGAGTGCCGAAACCACGCCAGCGCTACGCCGGCGCCGAGCCAGCGTTTCGATCGATACACGAGTATTTCGTTGGGGCGGGGCCCTGGCTGAGAACTAGGTCAGCTAGCCCCCGCCCCAACGAAATACACGTGTATCGATCGAAACGCTGGCTCGGCGCCGGCGTAGCACTGGCGTGGCTGGCACTCTGGCGGGGGCCTTAGACAGCTCAGCGCGCCGCATCCACACTTCGCGGACTTTGCGTTGAGAGATTTTATAGTTGGTAAGTGGTCAAAACCACAAAACTAATTCAAGGAGGGTTTTTCAAAAGTTGCACAAGACAAGTAGACAAAGTATTTCTTGCAGAAGGAAGACGTCTGCGTGCTTACAGTGAACTTTCACTTGAGCATAGGCTTTGGACCAGACATGTACCTCGGTGCCCCGCTCTTCAAAGAATACTGCATCGGTTTCGACTTTGGATATAACATGTTTCACATTTCTCACGCTAAGCGCGCAACCACTGTTAGCTCCACGCATAGGTAAGCAGAAAATGTTTATTTTTTCGGTTCTCTCTACTTGTTTTAGCCCTACTACAACTAAAACAAGGATTACCACTCTGACGACATCTCCAGCAACTACCACTCATAGGTGGGTAAACAAATATCTTAATGTATAGGCGCCGTAAAACCCAATTGCCCGCGCCGTGCCTTGAACACAAGCGTAAGCGAGCGGTCGGCGCGAATGACTGTCACTATATTACAAGAAATCTTTCTTTAGCTTTCATGTTGTTCTCGTCAATGCAAGGTATATCTTGACGAAAGCTCCCTTCAAAAGTTTAAAAAATATGTGTGGAAAGGGTGCGCGCTCATTGTTGCTCGCAAAAAGCCTGTAGCGTTTCGGGACCAAACTTTTCCAGCCGCGCCGCGTGTTGGTGTTCAAAGCGACTCGTGGGCAATTGGGTTTTACGGGGCCTGTACCTTTGTTACATGGTAATTTTGGTTCATAGAATGCGAATTTTAGTAGGCGATATGGTTTCAAGTACATTCAGAAGTCTGTTCTAGGTGATGATCATTTCCATAAGCACGGCAGCGTTTATTTTGATTAATAGAGATCTTCGCAGACTATTCACGACAACTTCTGCTGATTCATCAACTGAGAAGCTAAGACTTAGTTTTTTCTTCATCGTCTTTTTCATAGGAGGAAGGTAGAATTTGATTAGATGATCCTCATCATTCTTCACATTATTTCCTTGTTTTGAGAACTACAACTCGAATCTCTGATATGCATTGATCAGTTGTTCACAATTTAATAAACGTGTCAATATGCGATGAAGTTGCAACGCCATAGTATGCTTGCTAATGCTGGAACACCAAATGGAAAAAAATTTATTTATGCACTGTCTTTTAAGGTGAGACTGAGAGCTTTCTTCCAAAAAGCAACACCCACAAGTGCTTTCATCGAAAACAAGAAAATCGGGATTATGTGGCCGCAACCAATGGATCGTATCTATCGCAAACATCTTAAATGCTCATGAAGCGTATATGCTGTAAAAATTTGCGGCTCTCATTTACGCTTATGCTAAAGTAGTTCAGAACAGGACTATGCAAAGCTAATTGTAATTTCTCAAAAAAGCAGTAAAATAGCAGTAAAATCAAATCAGCTTCTAATCGATAATCTGGCCCAATGGCAGATGCGCGAAATAGGACGAGTCGGGAAAATTACTATTTCACTTTTTTCTAATTTCCTCTGGGAAATTCCAAAATCTTTCTGAAAACGCCAAATTTGCTATTCACTCAATATATAGTAAGGTATCCACATCAGCTTGAAAGCGCAAATGCACAATTTTGAACAACAACACACAACACACTTGAAGGAGTTTATGAAAGAAAAACAAACGCGGATCGTCAGTTTTTAGTTTTCTGTTGAATCATTAGTGTAGGTGCTGTGTCTCTCTGGTTTTTTTCTATGCGATAACTTGTGCTTTTCCTCTGCACTTATAGAATGTATTGCTGCGCTGTCTTTTGCATGGAGGCACTCCGGTGCCTTTAGCATATCAAAGCGAAGAGTGAAAAATACTGAAAATTTTAAATATCCCTAAATTATTATGTGAGTGAGTCGTGTAGAAATGATTATAGAAAGCTTAAAAATAACATCTGAATTTTTGAAAACGTTGTTTTTGTTAGAATGTTGATGATTGCAAAGATGGCGCACACTGTCATTTGAACCGCTCAGACGCGCGACATGTCAAAGATGACAACAAGACATGTTCATGTCATCCGCCTACATCTGCTGAACTATAGACTATGCCCTCTTTGATTCCTTGTCAGGTCTCTCGCTTACCAATGAAACGCACTTCAACCCATGAAGTGGGTGTTTTACTCACGAACCGCGGATGCAACGATACCGATGAACGGACCTTCTAGCCCTGCCATACGCCGTGAACATGAGATCTTCAAAAAGATTCTGAGTTTATTTAAGAATTAGAATAGAAAGTGTGGCAGAATTTGTCCGACAACTCAATAAGTGAAAATGGTTATTGTATAAATTAGCGACGAATTACGAATTACGCAATGGGATTGATAAAAGCAGTTTATCTTTGGCAACATTTCTGAACACTGAAATTCACCAAAAAACCGGCATTGATTTATTTTGTCAACAAAATACAAATTTGTACGACGAAATTTCGAGCAATACACGTAATAAGGAGAGGTACATTTTAACTTGCCAGATATCAAGGAAGAATAATTTGAATAATTACATAGGGTCAAGGGTTTAAGCAAAAGGAGAACAACACAGTCATTGAAGTTTTAGAAACAATACCACAAATTGATAATGAGGTCAAGTCAGCACCGGGTCACTAATTAATTATAAAAGTAAGGCAGTACAGCTTAGACATAAGTGGTCTGCACCCACCAAATTATCGTCTGCTAAGGCGAGCACTAGCTTAATTTTGCTTTCGGTTGAGGCTGTTGTTTTCCTTAGGGGGTTAGCTCTTTTCTGTAGTCGAGGTGTTTGATCAGATAGTTTAACTTATGTGCCTTCAACTTTGCAGACAATAAAACGAATATTTTTTTCATGTAGTAATTGCTAGAACAAATAGCACCTGATCAATAACTTTTCCATATATTTAACATGTTTCGAAGCTCCTAGAACGCTCAGAAAAGCTTTTTTGAAGGACACCGACAAGTATGATCATCCAGTTGACGTTTCCCAATCCAAGCTTCCTCAAGCAGTAATCCCGGTCATCCTCCTTTCATGATGTTGAAGAAGTCGACGATCTCACTTACATAGTAGTGTCTGTCATACCAGAAAGCATTAGCCGCTAGAAGATTTACCACGGATTGGTCAAACCTGGAAAAAATCTCATCGAACGCAGGGGATCTATTGGGATCATTTGGGATTTGTGCCACTCGTTGTTCAAATTAGGATGCATAGCGGATTCACTTCAACATGAGTGACTCAAATATAGAATAAAAAGTAAAGACATTAACACCAATATAATCACTATCAAATTGGCTTTTCGTTTTACTATGAAAATCTTCATAAGAGCTATCCTTGTCGTTTTCATTCATGACTTTTTGCTGAGAAGCAATCCAAGGTTTCTACTATTACACGTCAACTAAGTTCCCAGTGAAAGAAGATATCTATGCCTCAACGTGGCTAAACCTTCAAAGCTCAGTTGCACGTGTTTTAAGCTTTGTTTTCATGCTAGAATATATGAAAAGATGAGTACGGGTGTTGCGACTCCGCGATGCGAGCTCCTCTAAAAATGGGAGCCGCTATCCGGCGACGATTATAGTACTTTCTCACGCTTGCCGCAGTTACCTCCGGACCTTTCCTTGTCTTGCTCCCGCCAGAGTGCCGAAGTTATGCCAGCGCTACGCCAGCATTTCGATCGATACACGTGTATTTCGTTAGCCCTCAGCTAGCCCCGCCCTAACGAAATACACGTGTATCGATCGAAATGCTGGCGTAGCGCTGGCATAACTTCGGCACTCTGGCGGGAGCCTTAGCGCGTTGTCAGCCATACATAGCGGCGGCGTCTCGCTTCGGGGTCTGTTCGCCTTCGTTTTCGATCAATAATTCTTTTCTCACGTTTTCTATTGTGTTCGTGCCTGGCAGTTTTGATCCCGTTCTTAATATCCTTTTCGCATTAGCGGCCGAGCGTATCGGAATTACTAATTTGGAATTCAAGTCGGATTTTCGGACAAGCCACTTTGGAACTTTTGGGATTTAGAGTATTGATATCTTATGAACCTTGAGAGCAAAGAGGTGTCGCGCCTGTCATGCGGCAACGCGTAGCGTATAGATGTGAAGCCTAAGGAGCATATTTGTTATTTGTGTTTCTAGACGCGCACTATCGGTAGCGCGGAACGGGGCAGCGCCCTGTCCTGTATTGGGTTTTTTCTTTTGACTAGTAGTTCAATAGTTATTTTAGTTTAGTGTCCATTTATTCATTTTCATGTCATAAGGACTGTTAGTACTTGACCACCGTTTCACGCGCTAGGATAAAGTAAACTAGGTGAGTCGTATGTATCAAGAGGGCGAGCTCACTAAGTCTCGGGTAAAATCTAGGTGCTAAGGGCCCATTATGCCGCCACAACAGGACTTATCATTTGGAGAATCGGGGGCACCCACCAGCATTCCTGCTCCCGCGTGGACGCCTCGCCTGGACTCTGCGCCTCGAAAATGCTCTCTAATCATTTTCGCATGCTTACCTAGCGATTGAAGTTCCGCCTTTTCCCCGCTCGTGGTAGGAAAGTGGTAGGAGAGCATGTTCGCGAAGGAGGTCAGAGTCCAGGCTAGGCGGCCGCTGCGGAGGCGGAGCACCGAGTAATACTGTTGCAGCAGTAATTGTGACCAATTTGAAGTCTTCTATTGGATAAAACGAAATCTTTCCATAATTCGCACGAGAAAGTTGGGGTTTTTACTTTGTGCCCTTCCTTCACTAGGGAATAAATTCTAGTCAAGCAGGATTCACATTCCAATTCCACCTGCAGTGTTCTTTCTAGAGATGCCGAACACTGGACAAAACTGTGTGGAGCTAGGAGGCGCAAAAGCGACCAAAATTCTTTGATAACCAACCTAATAGAACAAGCATGAGGATTTCCTTGAAGATAGAGGTTGAGATCATTTTTACTTTAGCTATGCTTTGTATTGCAATGGAATTTGCTCTTCAATGGCTTTCGGGAACACTTAGGTCGCTCTATTCGAAGACTATACGGTGCATAGACAAGGTGCGCTCCTTGTTGGCTCGTTGGCAACTAAAAGACTACAAATAACTGTACTGCCTCAGTTTGCATCGATTTTCAGCTTCCATTGATTTCCAATGCGTGCTGTTTCAAGATTAAATCCTTCAAAAAAGCCCAGAGTATTTATTAGAGATTGAGACGAACTAAATCGAGAGTCCAAATCAAAAATAAACGTTAATATTTCTCAGAACTATTATTGCCTCCGACTTGGAAGAAGTCTGCTACTTGATTCCCAATTCGACTATTTATTACGTTCTTACTGCTACATTAGATTACCAGAAACGCAATAAAATCTGTAGAGAGTATGTCAAAAGCAAACTCTGCAGTATTAACAAAAAGAACAAAACTATTAACAAAAATAGTGCCATCTTTTATCTTATTCGGGCGCGCACGTAATGCTCTTCAGCAGTCGTACTTCACTAAGCGCAAAAAGGGGCCAAATTAGCCGGTTTTCGGATATTGACAGCAGAAATGATATCAGCGTTGCGAGTGGAGTCTAGTGTTAAAAATATCTACTTGCTGACCGGCGTGCGAATTGGTATTCTTCCTTTATTAGATCGAACTCTGCTAATCAAATCATATCGAGTTAGAGGATTGGTTAGAAATCTCGAAGTTGAATTGATGCAATCAATAATACTTTTGTAAAGCCTGTAAGGCATAATCATCCTACAACACAGGTAATCTACCATGGTAATACATCACGCTCCGTTCTTAGGCACTACGGCAAACTACATCCTGAAATGCCTAAGGTCAAGACACCCATTCAATTTCTCCAAATTTTGGTAGACTGTCTTTCTAAATGCCTAACTAATGCTACTGATCTTATCACTGGCAAATTCCTGTGCATTTGGCTAAAGATACGAACTCGAAACAATGTCACTATACGGCAGTAGTTGACGTAACTCTTTTCGACCTTTTAAAAACCTTCTCACCGCCCCTATAAGTCAGGTCAGCAAGTAGCTAGTTTTACCCAATTGTATGTGTTACTGGCTAGACTCTATGTTTGTGTTTCTGTGTTCTTTTCTTATGGTGCACCTGGTGTCACATATTAGGTTGGCTAATAAATGAGTTCGGTTCTGCGGTTTCTACTATGCTGCAGACATATTTTTGTCCAGCGTTTGGTATCTCTGGAAAGAGCATTTCAGTGGAAATTGGAATCTGAACTCTGTTTGAGAAGAACTTATCTACCAAGGAAAAAAAATCCGCAAAAAAGTAGAAAATTAAAATTTTTCTTTAGTGTGCAAACATGAGGAAATATGGCTTTTTTAATAAGAGATTTGCAGAATGGCAGATCACATTTTTTTGCTATTTATCAAATAGGAAAAACTCCTCTTTATTCAAATACCAAATTGCTGTTTATTACATTCATTACAGCATGAAAACGAAGATGAGGAGGATCAAAGATTAGGGCGTTGTGGAAATTTAGCCATCTTGAGGCATAACCGTCTTGATGATGATAGAATTTCCAGAATAAAGAACATATGATAGAGGAAGATTTGAGCTACTTTTACACAAAAAATTGTAGAGCAAATACAACAAGGAAATTATATAGAAATTTGCATGCCAAAACTCTTTTTTAGCCATCCAAATCCTTCTATATGAAGCTGAATGTCTGTCTGTCTGTCTGTCTGTCTGTCTGTCTGTCTGTCTGTCTGTATGTATGTATGTATGTATGTATGTACGTATGTTCCGAACAGAAAATTCCACTTCTGAAGCGATCGGGACCAAACTTGGCACACATACACTTCGGGGCAGGGCGGGTGTCATAGGCTACTTTTCGTTATCGAGATCGATATTGAAAAATTGGAGCTACAGGGCTGGGAGTTGGCACAGGGAGGTAATCGAGCATGCTGATTACAAATATATTAGGTTGATCCGAATGTTCTTGCGCATCATCTTTAAAAAAATCATAACTTCCTTGCCCTTCAAAGGATTTAGTCAAAGTTACACATATCCGAAAGAGGAATCCATGCTCTTTACAACTTTGTCTTCGTTATGAATTATTTTGAAAAACTTCGAGAGTTACAAGCAACTGAAGGAAATGAGTCAAAATTGGCATTTTTCGAGCTGGGTCAAGAAAAATTCTGAAAGTATTTTTTTGTGGTAAAGAAAATTATGCTCATTACAATGTTTCTTTTTTCATGAGTTGAAACGAAAAAGATCGAGAGTTAGAAGTAAATAAAGAGAATTCCTTCAATTTTGCAATTTTTGAGCATGCTCAAAAAGGCCCAGAAACGTCACAGAAAAGCCGTTAAAGTCATGAGCATGGGTTTTGTGACCTTCTCTTTCTAGCTGAGCGAAAATCGTGCTAATTGAGAGCAATTTGGATTTTCGTGAAAAACGCAGGCCCAAAAATCCGAAAAAATCACGTAAAACAAAATTGCTCTCGATTGGCAAGATTTTTACTCAGCTAGAAAGATAAGGTCACAAAACCCACTTTCATGACTTTCGTATTTTCTGTGACGTTTCTGGGCTTTTTTGAGCATGCCCAAGGATTGCAAAACTGAAAAATTCTATTTATTTGCTCCTAACTCTCGATCTTTTTCGTTTCAACTAACGGAAGAGCACCATTGTAATGAGCATAATTTTCTCTACCATACAAAAATACTTTCAGAATTTTTCGTGACCCAGCTCGAAAAATGCCAATTTTGACTGATTTCCTTCAATTGCTTGTAACTCTCGAAGTTTTTCAAACCAATTCATGACGAAGAGAAAGCTGTAAAGAACATGGATTCCTCTTTCGAATAGATATAATTTTGACTAAATCCTTCAAGTGGCAAGGAAGTTATGATTTTTAAAGATGATGCGCAAGAACTTTCGGACCAACCTAATATTATTGACAGGCACGGAGGAGCCGGGTTTGCCAACTAGTAATAGATAATCAGTAATAAATAGCAAATAATAAAATTAATAAACAAAAATAATATAGTGATGATAATTAATACACGGATAGTAAATAATCAAATAATAAACAAATAAATAAACAAGGCTTATCTCACTAACCTATGGCACGTTGGTTCATCCGAGAAACGATCCTTGAAATTGCAGAATAATGACTCATCACCAGTGCCTGCCATACATTTTTCTTCGAGTGCGCAGAGAACGTACCCAAATCAAATGTCAAATCGGCAAGCATATTGGTGATAAGCTTACAACAATGTACCATATTAAAATCTTTTCAATTGTTTCCCTTGTTAGAGCAGCGAAAATGAAACCAGCTTCATACATCTTAGCTTTTGGCTTCTTTATTTCTGCTTGGTTAGTTGGAATGAATTCGTAGATCACTAAAGTGAAAAGATGTTGCGCTCACTTAGTGATACCATAAGAGTAATTGTCATCTCAATCACTAACCTGGAGAAGTGGCAGTATAGATGCCATGTCCCGTGTAACCGTGGAACAGATATGCTGCCTTTTAAAAATTGTTGGTTAATCTATGATAACCACTGTCACTATCACAACTGAGAAAACAGTATGAAGCCTACACAGAAATGATCACATTGAAAAAGGTCTTACTTTCATTTCACAGTTGCCACTGCGAACACAAAAATAGTGCAATCACAAAAGGTTTCGAGTGACTGCTATTGTATGAAATCAAAATACAGGGTGTCTCAAAATGACGTATCGAATGTACAATCTATAAGAATTCTTTTGTACATGAACCTTTCTCCTTTTTTGAACATCATCTGCAGAGGTCGCTTCAACTTAGATTTACAGCTTGAGCGGGGCACCGGTCGCTCTTCGATACTGTTAGATTAAGGTAGGAATTCTGAAGAGGGTTTTGAGTCATCAGGGCCCTTATCCTACCTCAAAGCTGGGCAATGAAGTCAGCGCTCATGGAAACCCTGACACACAAATTTTTGAAATTTCTGGAAACTTTTTCGAAACACGGTTAATTCACAATGGCGCTGTTGAAAGTTTTTACAGTAATTCCGGTAAGGAAGAGCGATCTCGCCTCATAATGTACCTAAATTAAAGCCAGCTCTACAATATAGTGTTCAAAAAAAGTCGGAACTCTCTTACAAGAGAATTATTATAGATTAGACGTTCATACATTATTTTGGGACACCCTGTATATTAGGTTGGCAAATAAATTTCACAGTTTTCAATAATTATTTCTCAAACGTAGCACACTCATTATATGTCCAAATTAGTACAAATTCAGCCGCTGTCTGTCAAATTTTGTCATCGCATGTAAGAGTTACAATAAGTGTATAACAGGAAATCCACAAGGGGCGAAATCAAGAATATGGGAAGTTATTCAATTATACTGATTATGAAAATAATATTTAGAGTAGTATGCGTCTTTTTGTAAAGTTTATATTGCTTCCCCCGTCGCCGTGACACCAAATGAACATAATATTCGTGCTCAGTTCAAATCAACCCCCTATACAAAGTCTCGGCGAACGCTGAGATTTGTACTTCGGTACCAACAGATTTTTGAAGCAATTTTGACGTTCTCAACTTCTCGTAGGCTTAAGATCTGGAATTGCGCAATTCGCGCATTGCAAACTCTATACTTGAGTCCGAATCGAATAGAAATTCAATCATTCGAATTAAACATTCGAATATATTCATATTCGAAATTCGATATTCGGAGGTTTTCCATTTTCGAAAAATATTCGAAACTCGAATAATTGAGAAAACGGAGTTTCGAATAAAATTCGAAAACTCGAGTAATCAAAAAACGAGATTCGAATAATATTCGAAAACTCGAATAATCGGAAAAAGGAGTTTCGAACAGCTTTTATTCGAATGTTTTATTCAAATGTTTAGTCGAATTCGTATTCGAATGAACTCCGTATCCAAGTTATTCGAGTTTGTTGCAGAGCCAACTGCTGAGTACCAAGCTCGCTTCGTTTGCGTTTTTTTTTTCGCAAAACCAGGTAATGCATCTTTTTGCAACCGTAATGACCTTTGAACTGTATGGAAAGTCGCATTTCTCCGACTGCTTGCGACAGTAAAAAAATAGGTGTGGATTTTTTGGATTTTTGTTTATCGATATTTTTTTGGAGAACTTTGAGCTACGGGGCTGGGAGTTGGTACAGGGGGTAAGTGAGGGTGCTATTATGGATAAAATTTTATTTTATCGGTTTTACCGATTTCTGGAAAAGCTTGAGCTAGGAGTTGGTATAGGGGATATGAGGGTGCTGATTATGAATGAATCGGCTCTAGCCAGATATGTCAGCAAGTTTTAGATATGTTGCTGTAGTTATTCGAAAAATCATTCGAATATCTATTCGAAATTCGACTCCCACTGTTCGAATATATTCGATATTCATTATTCGATATTTTTGATTTCCCGAATTTATTCGCAATTCACTCATTCGAGAATTTTTGAACCTCGAATTTATTCGATATTCGTTTATTCGAGGTTTTTTATTTTCGAATTTATTCGATATTCGTTAATTCGAAATTTTTCATTTTCGAATTTATTCTACATTCATTCGATGAAAAATTTTCGAATTACCCAATTATACTCTCCTCGATTCATTTGTTGAGAACACTGGTATCAGCTCGCTACTGTATCTGCGCTCAGACATTTTCTTGCTGGGCGCGCTGCCAAGTGGAGGGATTTAAAAGGCTGCGGAACGTCCGGCATATGCCTCATTGGTTTTCATGACCTTATTTGAATTTCTTTATATAAAGCAACAGAAGGAACGGCATATGCTTCTTTGGTTTCCATGAACTAGCTTGGATCTTCTCTATCTCTCGCGTACTCTTATCCATCGTGCTTAGTAGCGCGAACAGTAGGTTTCCGTGGATGAAGTGTTGTGAAACTTTTCGATCATACCGCGCTATAGCGCGAGAAAAGTCAAGAGCTGATATGTACGAAGTTTGTTATTGTGAGCAGGAAGGAGTCGTACCTATTTTCGCGGAGGCGATCAAGCGGTCGACCCTTGTGGATCCAAGCTATAAGTTGGTGATAATCGGTGTGTTGTGAAGAGGCGGATTCGCCAGGTGTTTTATTCTTTGTAATTTAGGTTTTCATTAGTTCGAGTTTTGTCTATTCTGTACTTGGGATGAAATTGGTAACTTACTGCGTTTGTCTTCATGGTTTATGGTCACGTAGCGGGGTCGTCGTAGTGCGGTCGCGCCGGAGTAGCTAACCGCTGCTACGGTTTTTTGCAGTAGATGGTGAAGGGTTGTGCAGGTCGAGCGAGCAAATGGTCAGATAATCGCCGGTGCTGAATGCGAATTATGGGCAGGTGGGCACCGGAAAATAGTTCGCTGATTTTCTGCGGTCCGCTTGCAGACATTAGGGAAGATTTTGGCGAAATTTCAGACAAATGCTCGGAGAATAATGGCGGCTTTTTCGTAAATTAGTTGCGGCGCAGTGGCCGCATTCTCGCAAATCTTACGCGACGATATGCAAAATTATTTAAGCCGCACATTCCCTGGTGAAAGATCGCCCGGACAGCCCGTAGGTACCTTCCGCTGAGAGAAAGTACTCCAAACTCGGGTAATTAAACCATCATTGACACCTCTGCCACATAGAGTTTCACCTTTGCTACTTACGATGTAGCAAAGGTGAGACTCTATATGGCAGAGGTACGGTTTGGCGTACGCGCGAAACTGCGTAACAAGCTTCGGAGCGCTCGCTGAAAATTTGGCTAGTGCTTGCTGAAAAAAATTATTTGACGAGCGCTTGCAGAAAATTTTGTATTGCTGCCCGCTGGCAGAACTGGAAGTACTGCTCGCTGAAGGTTTGGCCACGCCCAAAATTCTGCTGACCGCTTGCAGAAAAGCGCGAGCTTGCGGACCGTCTGCCTCCGACGATTATTTGAGTGGGTGCTGAGCCCGCTAAGCCGGAAGAGGACTTTTCAGCTCTTCCTTACTGACAGGAAAAACCTTTTGCTCGAAGTGGCTCTTTTCAGCAAGCCCTATAGCTTACCTACTTTGAAGAGCATTGAGCGCTGATTTTAAATCTGTTTCTATCGTCTACCAAGCGCTTTTAAAAACCGAGTTATGACTTGTTTTTGGATCTAAAAACGAACGCAAAATTTATGTAAAAACAATGATTATAATCTTTTCTGCGCTCAAATAGAGTGTTGAGTATGAGTTTATTAAACAGAATATATTCAATGGATGGTGCGTTAATAATCAAGCCTGACCAAGGAGCAGTTTTGGACGATTTTCAGTTGCGCATCCAACTTTTCGATCTGACGAATGCTCACAACTCTGCTCCCAGAAGAGCTTGGCAGATAAGAAAGACAAATTTCATTGTTCAATGCTCCACAAAGTGATAGGTGTCTTGTGGAAAGGTTTGATCAAAAAGTTTTCCCTTGTAGACTTAGTGATCCCTTGTAGACTTAGTGAACGAACGGGAATCACTTTGCCAACACGCCTCCTTCCTACTTGATGCAGAATCACAGCTTCATTTCTGCTTCAAAACTGAAAAAGTTGAACCTCACCAGTTTTTTTTATATAACCAAAATCAAAAAGTTTGTGCATTTTATAGCTCACATCACACACTACGTCATGCCAAAAGTTGACTGCATCATACAGAGAGGAGCAAAGTTACGAAAAATGCTGAAAAACAGTTGCTAACCTACAAAAATGTTTGTCTGAATTATTGCAACCTATAGCAAGTCCAGACAAGAAATGAGGTAAAGTGAACGAGGTTTACCGTTTGATCAAACCCCGCTAAAGCTGTGCACGGAAATGGGAACCTCTTTTTTAGCATCTACTTCTTCCTTAAACCGAACTTATAAAGTTGAAAGTGACGGAAAAGAGATTTGAGTTTAGAGGCGCTTTTCCAAGTATTCCAGTTGACTTCTTTGAATTCGCCTTTCTATTCTGCTTGTGGTTATCGCTCACATCATTTAGCTCACTAAGGCCCCGGTCAGACTTCACGCGACTTAATCGTCGCGACCAAATCGCCAAGATTTCCATTCATTTTCATTTCACATTCAAAAATTTCGGTCTGGAAAAGTATCACAACCGAATGCAAGTTGATCGACATGGAATGATGTTGTAACAGTTGTCTCGTCGCGATTCAGTCGCGACGATCAAATCGCGTGAAGTCTGCCCGGGGCCTAACAAAGGAGTGAACACTGAAATTATAACATTCACCTTCCTGCATTCAGCAAGATTCGCTCGCCACTGCGAAATTTCCCAGCCGCTTTCATGTGCTGTTCGGTTCTCGCGCTCGTCCCTTTCTTCTGACGACAGCAAAGGAGGTCTAAACTATGCTTTCAACTACGAACTTAAGAACGATCTCCTACCGTTCTTTGACGATCTCTCTACATTTCACAAGCTCATAGACGTGATTGAGATCACTCTTTTTGAAAACTACAGAGCTATCCATGTACCATATAGCACCAAATTCAAGAAGAGTTTCCTGTAAGGAAAAACAAAGGATTGCAGCATATTTTAAGATCTGAGGCAAGGGGCCAGCACAGCTGGCATGTAAGAAGATATTCCCATGTAAATTGGCTTTGACAGGTGACTGTAAAACTTGAATGTAACTATTGCCACGTGGGGCGTGTACGCACTCACGGTTGAGCAACCTCAAACTTGGGCAATTAAACTTTATTCCTAATGGTTGATCAAGATAAACCACAAGTGAGTGATGCACTTGCAAGTGATTCTTTCAACGCGAATCAGCGGTAAAGGGAAAAAGCCCATGGCAAAAATACACTCTTGAGTCATCTTGAGCTACTTGACAGATTTTGAGGTTTCCCCAAACCTGTCTCAGTCTGCTTCATCGTCAGTAAGAGATCTCTCAGGAGCTTCATCGCCGGGTTTGGTCCAAATCACTTTTGCGCGGGCAGACACACATCCGAAAATAATATCATGGCCACGACAGCATCTATGACAATGGGATTGTCTGGCCGATTCTCCTTGCTTAGATATATACCAGCCGAGGAAGTTGAAGTTGGCCTGATGGCGATAGATTGCTAGACGACTCTTCTCTAATTTTAACAAACCTGTGGCTCTTCCGCATTTGTTTCGTGTAGTCATTTCGAAGAATGTAGTAGTACTGCATCCCTGTAGCTATTGAAAGGTAGTTGGAGTCGACTTTGTCACTCAAGCAGCCAGCGTCGGAACCGCTTCTGACGAAACATATTTCAGCAGGCTAGGACGACGTCAGGTAAACCGGGGCAGTGTAAGCAAGCGACTTGACCCTGTTCCACATGTACATAACAGTGGCGGACCGAGGGGGGGGGGGCGGGGGGGGGGCGCGCGCCCCCCCCCCCGAGAATGGGTCGCGAAATTTTTGAAACTTACCTATATGGGTTGTAAAAATGTGCAAACGACTTGTTTGCTCTTGAAAATAATTAAAATAATTTTTAAAATTTTTTAAAAATTCATTTTGGCCTTATAAAAAATTTTTTTCGGGGGCGTGGCTGACGCCACGCCCCCTTTTTTCAGACTTTAGGGGTCGGGGACCCGCAAAAATTTCGAGAAGCACCTTAAAAATTTTTTCGGAGTGCGTGGCTAACGCCACGCACCTTCTTTAGAAAAAAATTTTTTTCGCGCCCCCCCCCGAAAAAAATTTCTCGGACCGCCACTGGTACATAATGATTGAGGATTTGACCAAATTCCGTAATGCGCGTTCTTCGAAGCTTTGTCGGATCAGACTAGAGTGGTAGTGATCAGTGATCACTTGACGATTAGCAAGTAGAACTTTCAAAATAACAGCTTGCACTGGTAATCGCCTTGTGTTTGCTGTTCACAACCGATGATCGCGAGCGATCGTCCATTGACAGCGTAATCCTTAAAGAATCCCTTCAATGTCACATTTTCTGCCATCTCTCAGCCAATGTATGGTAACAAATTTAGCCTCACTCTATCTGGGACTCAAATAGCACAGCAGAATCCTTAAGAGTTTATGCAGTAAGTACGCGTGGTCAGTGTGAATGAGCAATGCGGCAAAACGCAGGTTTGTGGGCGAAATTCGCAAACAGTCGACTTCTTCAGTCTGAGGAGGGCTAGCAGCTGGAGAACCAACTGCATGTTGGACCCCTGCTTCATTGCATTGACATATTCCTCATACTTGGGTAATTAGATTTTATTAATGACTAATTAACAAATGCGTCAACGCTACAAGTTATAATCATAAGGCAAGATCAAGTTATAATCCTAGAAGGCAACTAGAGAGCGTGCAACCAAATTGGCCATAAAAGATGTGTAATGTAATCCAAGCAAACAAAAGGATTTGCAATACTGTGATTGTGAATAAAGCAAGCAAAAGGAGTTTGAAATTACTGTGAATGCAAAGTTTTGTGAATAAGTGTTGAATGCTTATTATTGTGTAGCTTATAATTACAGCGTCATAAGGATATGAAAAATTTGATAAATCTAACAAGAGAAATAAAAAGAGAGAGAAAAAAGAAGTTCTTATACACACCCGTTGAGCCTGCTATGTCTTATTATCTACTTCTATATAGAACATCGGAATGATAAACAAACTGTCGTAAGGCCTGTGAAATTACTGATAACTTGCTTCAAAAGAATTCTTGTTGTTTCTTCAACCGCATCCCCGCAGCTCAGAGAACGATAACGGTTAGTTTGTATACCATGGGTAAAAAGCAGTGGCGTACCGAGGGGGGAAGGGCGGGAGGAGGAGGCCCATCGAGAATGGGTCGCGAAATTTTTGAAAGTTACTTATATGGGTTATAAAAATCTGCAAGTGACTTGTTTATTTTTGTAAAAATTGAAATAATTTTTAAAAATTTTTAAAAAGTTCTAATTAGCCCTGTAAAAAAAATTTTCTGTTTTGAGAAGCACCCCAAAAAAATTTTGGAGTGCGTGGCTGACGCCACGCACCTTCTTTAGAAAAAAATTTTTGTCTCCCCCCCCCCCCCCCGAACCGAAATCCTGGGTACGCCACTGGTAAAAAGGAAGGATTGTTTCCGTCCACATGTTTGCTGCCAGACACCCACAGCAGTTTAGATAAGCTCAAGAAATGGTCATCAAAAGTGCTCTAACACACTTTTACAAAGCGCGCCAGAAAAATGGCTTGTTTCACGATCAACAGTCACTCATATGACATCAAATCTGGCTTGTTTATACTTAATGGAGAGAAAGAACAATGTATGGAATGTTATGAGAAACTTAGATGAATGGAAGGCGAGTCCAACCCGAGTTCGTTGGCACCGTGCCAGTTAGGTGCCAGTTGAGTTGTCCCTCTCCCATTATTGTTGACTTGATAAGCTCTTTAGCTTGAGCTCTAACCCATTAGTACTTGATACACTTTGTCATGGCCTTGGGTAAATAACCACCGTCTTTCTACCGTGTACTGTTTTGCTTCAATTTCCTTGTCTAAATTCCACTTCCGTCTGCTAATAATTTGCTGAAAATTTTTGAAGCCATATCTCTTTGCGCACCTCAGTGAGTCGTGTTTTGCGAACTCAAGAGATACTTCGCAATGCATGGCTTTCAAAATCCCCAGCCTGCTTGCGTGGCTTTCTATTCTTAAAACATACCATAAACAAAAGGGACAGATAAATGTAGCACATACCGCTATGACTAATGGCTTCCATCTAAACTCGGTTAGTGACGCAACATATCCGGGATAATCTTCAAAGTTGAATTTACGAAACTCAAGAAATTTCCATTCCTGAAACAAAGCTGCTTTCAGTTTAGTAATCTCATCAGTTTCAATTTAGTTTAATAAAGTGAAAATGGAAAGAAGACTTTGAAATAAATGTCTACACAAAAGATACTTTACCTTAAACTGGTTAGAATCGACATTCCCCAGATCGTATATTATCATGCGTTGGTCCAAAAAGTATTTTGCAACACTTTTAACCTAAACATATAATTTGATCAATTACAGATGATTTCCAACTATCTGTCACAGCGTATTACTTACAAGATTTAGAGCCTCATGTTGATGATTGTTTGAGAATGCGGTGACAAATACTGGAGCAGATTGTTTCCAAATCAAAGATAATCCAGAAGTGTCTAGTAATCCTGTAATCCAACGAATATTTTGTAAGAGCAAAAAACGGAGCAGTTAGGTTTCTCCTCCAGAATCCGTTTTGAAAATCGCTAAAAAGAGTTGCAAGAGTTTAGGAGCCCTACGAATAAAAAGATTCTGGTTTTATCATTCTTCATATCACTCAAGCAGTGCATAATAGATTAGGAAAAAATAATTGCGCGCACAAGGGTTCTCCTAGGCCACTTTATGAATAATGGTCTTCCCTCGTTTATAGCAATTAGTCCTTACCCCAAGTACTAAAGTCTTACCTAATTTTTTGAGTGCTGGTAGATATTGGCAGGAGAATCTTCTACCATGAACACTCCTATTTTCAGGTAAGTGATAACAAAAGTCATAATTACTTCCATCCGTGTCGACGCATTTACAGTTGTCCGAGATTTCCTGAAAATAATTGGTAATGTCAGTTATCAGGCTTTACTCATTTGCTTCTAAAATTTTAGATTATGTGCAAATTTTATGATCTTTTCCTCTAGAAGAACTTGATAATTGATTTTGAGGCTTTCGCAACATGCTGAAGACTTAAAGCATTCAGGTATTTTACTCCTACCCATAACCTTGGCTTGGACATTGACAAATTTGGTTTGCAAAAGATTTTGTTATAGTAAACATTATTTAAACTGGTTTATGCCATTCAAATTCAGGTTGCTTGCCGACGAGTAGGTTCTTTGATACATACCCTGGATATAAAAATTCTCAAAAGCTTCTAAATTCTTGAAATTTGCAGAAAAAGGGTACTACCCGCCAAACTGAACATAAACTATGCTCCGTTGATCAAAATATTTAAAAAATGATCAGAGAGCTGACGAAAGGTGGCTTGGTTATTTTCTTAAACAGAAGTGCAGAGACTGCAGAAGTTTTGTTTTGTAATCTGATTGGAAACGGTTTGCCTGCGTAAACAGGAGATAAAAGAAGTTGCAGTACTTTTATCGTCTTCAGCTCAGATTTCTTTAGGCTTTTTTACGATTGTTTTGTTTTGTTATTGAAACGACATGATAATAGAAAAACATCAGTTTGGATTCTAGGTTAACATAGTTACACTCGAGGAACAAAAATTTTATTTCTAGCAGTCTCCTTCTCATTTCCAGACTATCTGAAGAGATCCAATTTTTAACGTGTACCCGTCGACATAAGCAAGACACAAGCAATTTGTAAATGGTTTTTAATAATTGGCAGTTTTCCAATTCATGTCACTGCATGGTCCAGTCTTCAGTTTGCATCGTATTAGACCAAGTTATTGAGGTGGATAAACATAAAAGTGTGGGAGACCAGGGCTCGGCACGAGATGGCTAAATGAAAATGCAAAAAACGAAGTCCCCCTTGACCCGACACCATATTCCCTAAAAATTCTCAAAAAACGAAACGTCGACTATCCACAAAAACAAAACCTCCTGCTTTTTGTCCCAAAAACGATATCCAGCTTGCTTGTAAGCCACCTGTGCCGAGCCCTGTGGGAGACTATGAGAATTCCCAACGAAAGAAAGAGATAAAAATGCAGTTGAAAATTATCGGCAATTGTTTACACTAATGCAACAAAATGAGAATGTAATGCTGAATATTTCTTTGTCTTCCCTCTTTACCAAGTCTGAGTTGCTGATAATCTCAGAGTTTCAAATTAAAAAGTGCAAAAAAAATTATTTTTCGATAATGATGCCCATGCAATATTATAAAAAATTTGCGAATCTCACCTCTACCTTTGATTTTAAGTGAGTGCCATTTCGCTGCGTGTAGAAAATGATGACAATGAATGAGCATGTGATAAGAAGCAGAAATGACCTGCGAAAGAAACTTCTGGTCCGGAACAAATGTTGAGACATATGTGCAAAATGGAAGAGGCGGTGCAATGATGAGTTGCAGCAAAAAGCTATTGCCATGGCCACAAGGTGCTTCTTTCAATTTAGCATATGCATAAAACGAGAATTCAGTTCTTTTTCAAATCAGAGGAGTGATTTGACCATGCCAAGGTACGTAGCACCTTCTCCAAGCATTTTGCTACAAGAAAAGACCTTATACTTTGGTGGGCCTAATGAACAAGACCCTTCGCTGTGTCACTGGACAACATTCTGCATGACCTCTGAATTTTCTTTATTGGAATTTTGCTATGGAGGTATTTCTTCAAGAAATACAGGGTTTTTGAAGTCAAAGAGTGAAGTCTTTTCGTCTTTTGAAGTCTTTTCGTCAAGACAGTTTGTTTTGAATTAGAGATTGCGCTCGTCACAATTAGTCAACCCATTAGACATTCTTCGATATGAGTAGTTGTATATGAACGTTTATGTGAACAGTATATTTAACGACTTTTTTTTTACATAAAAATCAAATTTGCTGCAAACTTAATATCAGGGCTTTCACACTTAGACCTTCAGTGTGGTTAGGCCATACTTTACCGCGGCTACCCCGTCATCAATGTTGTCGGTTTCAGGTAGCAAACGATCAAGTGTGCAGCCCTGTTCTAGCCTAATTTGTTTTTGGCATAAAAATTTATTCAAAGAGATTACGTTAGAGACGATAGGAGACTGCAACGTCATTCAATCAAGTTGCTATATAAATCTTGCACTAAAAATATAATAAAATACGTTCTATGTGTAAATAACTTTCTAGTGTATATCATTTACCCCTTCTAACCTATACCAAAAGTTCTACCTTATCATAAACATTGGAGATTTTTTCTACTCGAAAGCAAAACGGTATCTAAAAATCATGGTTATTCGTAGTAATGTCTGATCAACAAGAAATCTTTCCATGTAGAAAAACTATGTCATAGAACACAAAGCAGTAAAACGAGAATTAAATAGACGTTTCAGTAAGTATAGCAAGAAAGCCACTTTTTTACTCTATTCAACATCTACTCTATTCAACACTTGTAACATTGCGATAAGGCTACAATATAATTGATTTGACTACTTTTGGTAAGTGCAAGATTTTCTCTGTCTAATATGTTCCGAAGCAAAAGTTTGCTTAGCAACTGGGAAAAAATCATGAATTTTACAAATGTTTGGCACAAGACTTAACATGTATCAACCTAATATATCATTACCGCTAACAGCAGTAAACAGAAGTCTGAGAGCATTAACAATACCGTAACAGCGGTAAAGCAACGAGACAATCTTAAAGAGACAGATAAGCCAATACCACAGCACGAATGATGAGTTTTGCCAGCAAACTGCTCACAGAGCAGTGTTTGGTTTGTCTCTTTAAACGTTTTTTTAAAGAAATGGAGCGAAAGAGAAGATCCAGCTTGGCAAACCTTTTTAAGTTTTCTGATACATTTAACCCAGTAAAAACTTGTGGGAGAAGTGAATATTATTCCACCGGAGAGGAAATGACTGTCGTTAATTGCATATTGGTTAGCTCCACTAACGAAGTCTCTGCCGATGGTAAAGTCATCAAAGAGGCTTGCTGTGTAAAGTGGGTAAGATTTCCGTAATTAGCATGTCAAATTACCTATACGAGCTCTACAAACCATCACCTATCACATTTTCTAGTGTTTCCAAAAGTTTGGGAGGCGTGATTTTCAGACATGATTAACTTGGTCACGAAAGTAAAGGAAGTCTGCTTTCTTGTGCTCAAAACAAAGTAATACTATTTGTCAGTTTATGGTAAAAATTAGATCTTCCATCGCTCTCAAAAAGTGGATAAAGAAGGCTGCCAAAATTTCAATCACCGCGTTCACCTTGAGTTCTTCAACTCCCCCGATTACCACAAAGCCGGAACAAGTCCGATTAAGCTCCAACACCTACTGTAGAATCTTGAGGTTTGTGCTAGCGAATCACATAAAACTAGGGTGGAAAGATTCTTCGGTGATAAAGTTAATCGGATCAGGCGCAACCCCTCAAAGTTCAGGCCGCCTGAGCTTTTGTAGCCTTGCGCCTGACCCCCTTAACATGTCTTCAAAATTCAGAAATAGCTCCATTCCTGGTATAAATACTGAGCACATAGCTCCTTCTTGCTACAGTGAAAATTTGGAGTCAAACACCCTAGCCTTAAAGGCAGTGGCTCGGCAAATCCTCGACTTGAAGTTTTTTCGCTTACCGGGGTGAAAAGGAGGAAGAAGGGGGGTTGTTTGGGGCTTTTAGGGGGGGGGGGTGGTCGTTTTCGAAAGACTTGTGCCTGACCTCTTGCTCAACTCTGGTGGAAATCGATAAATTTGACTCAATCGAGAGCTTCACTGTGCTAGTCTACCATTTTTGATTTTAAATGGGTCATTAGATCAATTTATCACTTACATTTCGTTTCCAGCGATCGAACTAGAGAAGCCGTAGAGATTGCAGTGGATAATCCGCAGATGTGCGTTGTACGTTATTGCGGACTGTCTGCGTCTCTTGTAACAAGGTCGCTCCCTCATCGCAAAAAGGCTCATTTTGCATAAATAGAATGATTTATATGACATTTGAATGCAGTCTTATCTTCGCTCCCAATCTATTACGAATCAAGTTTGAGAGTTGTCTGAATTACATCGGAACTCATACATTAATTTAAAGTCCTTTAAGAATCTAATGGATTCTTTGTACGGATAAATGGTGACTGATACTTCTCTCCCTGGCTTTGCAAAGCTCTAAACTCTTTTTTCAAATTCTGTTGGTACTAAAATTGGCATCATTTGTATAGATACAAATGGATGCAAGTCTTGTTTCCGGCTTACATTTGCACGACATTCATCAAGTCGTTTTCGTCTGATAGCTGTGCACTTAGCAACAAAATCGCATTACGTTCGGTTCCTCAGCGAACGCGGACAAAAAAACGGATGGCCGCCGAGGTGGTGAAATTTATGGGAAGTAATTTGGCCTCGAGATAATTTTTGGTCTTTCGATTGGGACAGTAAGACTATGACGAAATAAAAGGTTGAAGAGGCTTCCAAATTGTTGTTCTAATTCGGAATCCTATCTTTGTATGCAACCACCCAACTTATTAGAAAATATCTTGTCTAGTATAATCCGCTCTTTTTCCCAATATGTGCACTTTAGTGCACTTTTAGAAAGCCGGATGTGCACAATTTACAGGGCTGATTAATTAAAGAAAAAGCAAGGCATAACGCTAGTTGCTATCCAAGCAAACCTCCATGCACAATCTGACGCTAATGAGAACATAGTACTGTGAAGTTTTCAAATGAGCTCGAGTGAAACTTGCCTCAGACAATCAATGCTCCAAAATTTGCTGAGAATTTTTTAATATCTAAAAGGTGATCTTCTCAAAGTAACTAGGAATGCCACAGCTCAATTTGCTCGCTATCGTTTTCAGTTAGCAGGGTGTACTGCTCAATAGGATGTCCCAAAAGCCTCTGGGCCTTATATTTCTCACTGAAGGCTGAAGGCGCGCGAATTTTGGCACAAGACTATGGCCGTAGTAAAGCTCGGTCATGGGAGATTATCTCCCCTGAGACCTCCATG